CGCGTACTCCGCTTAGTGTTTCTAAGCGGATGCGACGAAACTTTATTGCCGGGCATGTGGTGAAAGCCCAAACCTTAGCCATCAAAGCCCAGACCTTCTCCTAGAAAGCCCAGAACCGGTATCCCCAAGAAGGAATTACAATGGAGACTACAGGTAAGGCTCATCTGAACCCCGACCGACCCCAGGCTCCTTCATATTAAACATAGGTTTAGGGCTTAGGGTTTAGAGTTTGGGGTTTAGGGTTTAGGGTTCCTTACAGAAGGCCTCAAAAGTTTCGGAATCAAGGGTCTGTTGCATGCTTTAGAAAGGAACTCTTATATAAAGATCCCCCTCAAGGGAGCCTTCAAGACCCCCTTAAGGGGATCTTGAGCAGGTTGAGGCCGTGCGGTTGATGATATAAATCCTGCAGTACCCATAATGAGGTATGCACTAGAGTTCTCATAGGTTAGGGTCCTGGTTGGAGGTTCATGGGTAGTTATAAGCGGAGTTATAAGTCCCCCTATTGGAGGTTATAACTATAGTTATCCTACTTATAACCCTACTTTTAACTACCCATGAACCTCCAAGTTCCCAGAGAACCCAATACCCCTGAATTAAGGAATATACCTTAAATCATAGTATTAAGGCCCCTATAATTTAAGGTATATTCCTTAATTAAGGGATATTGGGTTCTCTGGGTAATGCAGGAGTCGTATCATCAACAGTAGGAGCATCCCTTTTTGCGGAGACCGCGCCTTGCAAAGCTTGGAGAAGGAGGGTCCATCCATGGCCTCGGAGATTCGGCCCTTTGGGGATTAGGGCCTGTGGGGTTTAGGGCTTATAGGGTTTAGGGTTCAGGGTTTAGGGTTTAGGAGTTTAGGGTTTAGGGATTAGGGCCTATAGGGTTTTGAGCTTATAGGGTTTAGGGTTTAGGGTTTAGGAATTTATGGGTTAGGGGTTAGGGCCTATAGGGTTTAGGGTTTAGGGTTTAGGAGTTTAGGGTTTAGGGATTAGGGCCTATAGGGTTTAGGGCTTATAGGGTTTAGGGTTCAGGGTTTAGGAGTTTAGGAGTTAGGGATTAGGGCCAATAGGGTTTAGGGTTTAGGAGTTTAGGGTTTAGGGATTAGGGCCTATAGGGTTTTGAGCTTATAGGGTTTAGGGTTTAGGGTTTCGGAGTTTAGGGTTTAGGAGTTTATGGGTTAGGGTTTAGGGCTTAGGGTTCGGACATTCAGCTCCCTTCAACAACGAGGGCTTCAGGCAAAGCCACACCCCCCTAAGCCCTAAACCCTAAACCCGGGACCTTAAACCCTAAACCGTACACCCTAAAGGTTTAGGGAGGTTTGGGTTTCAGGGTCTAGAATTTGGGGTTTAGGAACCCAAAACCCTCCGCCGAAGACGACTCGGAGCCCTTTACCGGGCCCCCGTTTAGGGTTTAGGGTTCCTGGTCATTCAGCAACCCTAAAAACCTAAACCTAAACCCTAAACCCCTGAGCCTGCAAAAAGAAGGTGCGGCTCAGCCCTGGGCCCGTCGGCCGGTACCGCAAAAGGCCTCGCCAGGGGCTCCCGGCATTTCGAAGGAGTGACCAAACTGAGGGATTAGGGTTCAGGGCTTATAGGGTTGAGGGTTTACAGGGTTTCGAGTTTCGGGTTTAAGGTTTAGGGTTTAAGGTTTACCGTCGTCCAAAAACCCGACGCCTTTTGAGGAATTAGACATAGCGACCACACTAAGCGGCCCTAAGACGGTACGGTGTTTTCGGCCACGGGTAGCGTGGAGGATGGTGTCGTCTTGGGGTTAGGGGGGCAGGCAAAGTGTCGCGTTAGGGTTTAGGGTTTAGGGTTCAGGATTTTAGGGTTTAGGGTTTAGGGTGTAGTATCTCTTCTGGCGTCACTCAGTCGTTCAATCATCAACCAGTGTCTCTGGCAGTTACATCATGACCCTGGACCCCTAAAACCACAATACCTTGAATCTAAAACTCCTAACTCCCGGCATATAACCCTAAACCTTATTAATCCGATACACTCAACACCTGAACATGAACCCTAAACCCTAAACCCTAAACTCAAAATCCCTGAACATGAACCCCACACTCTTCGGACCCATAAAGCCCTGAAGCCTAACCTCAAAGAGCCGCATTTTTTCAAGCCTATACCCCGAAAGCCCGGAAAGCCCTAAACCCCATAAAGGACCCTTGAAGGAACTCTTCAAGGAACCCTTGAAGGAAACCTGAAAAAAGAAAAAACCTTAAATCCAAAACTCCGAATTCCCGGAATATAACCTTAAACCCTATAAACCCTAAACCCTGTAAACCCTAAACCCTAAACCTGAACAAAAAGTGTTAAAGGAACCAAAGCGCCAGCCTTGAAGACCTCATCACTAACCTTACGGTTTAGGGTTTAGGGTTTAGGGTTTAGGGTTTAGGGTTTAGGGTTTAGGGTTCCTTATTATATTTATAGTATAATATAAACCCCAAACCCCCTTTTCTAATGATTTAAGGCCCCTACATATTATAGAACCCCTATGGTAACCCTTATCGTATCCCTTTTAAGGAACCCTACAAGGAGCCCTGCTCTTATGATTCAGGCCCCGATATTAAACCTTAAACCCTAAATCCTAAACCTTGAAGCCCCGGGCCTTGAAGACCTCCTGGTACGAGCTGGTGCCGTCCTGGCAACTAGGCATCTGGCTTTGATTGAGGGTTTTGGGGGTTTAGGGTTTGGGGGTTTAGGGGTTTAGGGTTTAGGGATTTAGGGTTTGATTGAGGGTCTTGGGGGCTAATTGCCTTAAACTACCAAACCCTACTTTTTTGTAGGTTCCTGTTACAAACCCTAATATGGAATTTATGGGGACCCTACAAAAAGTAGGTTTTGGTAGGTTAAGGCAGGGTCCGGGTGTATTTAGTTAGGCATCTAGGAGATTGGTCTAGGGCTTTTGCTTGAATTCAGGTTCAAGGGTTCGGGGGTCTCGCGCAAACCGCCCAAACCTTGCATTCTTGGAGTTATACTATACTTCCACATATTATGGCCTGAAAAGCCCTAAACCCTAAACCCTTAGGGATTTTTCAGCTTCAAGAGTTTGCAGTGAAGAGCTCCAGGCTGCAAAACATACTGTTGATGGACAAAATCCTGCATTACCCATTATAAGGAATATACCATAATTCCCATAGTTTAAGGTCCTTAAGGTCATGCAGGATTTTGTCCATCAACAGTATTGAGGGATAATTCTTGAGGGTCTGTGAACGGGGGCCGGGAAAGGCTTTTGTGGGGCTGAAGATAAGGGTTTAGGGTTTAGGGTTCAGGGTCTGTGAAGTGTCTTTCTGACGAGCCTACGAATATCTTTGGAAAGGTTTAGGCGGCTTCGGGATTCAGGGCCCAAGGTTGCAAGTTGATGGGGTTTATGGTTGGTCTCGGTATTTCTTGATGATGCTGACCGCATTAGGCCTTAACAAAAAATCAACAAGTGATGGAGGCGCAATGCCACAAGCGACCAACAATGTCACAAGCGACGGGAGCTGCAATCACAGTGAACCCTTGAGAGGGTATTGTAGACCGGTCGCTCATCTTCTCGAAGTTCATCATTCATGGGACAGGCTTCAGCAATACTACCAACAGTGTTCCTCAAGATTCTTTGTTATGAATAAACTAGGGTACACCCACAGCCCAACCCCCCTCCTTTATTGTCAAGGCCATATAGTAGTCATGGCTGGCGTGATTTCTGCATTCTCCGGGGTTGCCAGACCAAAACCTACAGCCTACGGTCCAAGTTCGCGGAGGGATCTCGGCAGACTGCTCCAACAGCCCTTCTGTAAGGGTTCACGATTTCGGGCCTAGGGTTTAGGGTTCTACATGACACCACGACTCCTGTTTGTTTGCGGTAGTGTGCAGCGAGATTGCATGGTGTCTAGTTTAGTTACCCAGAGACTCCAAAACCCGTTATTAAGTAATATTCCTTAAATCATATCAGGGATCCCTAAACCCTAAACCCTAAAAGGAGTCTCCGAATAAGGATGCTTCAGAATGCTGTCGTACTTCCACCTCCCCACGGCGATCCGACGGCCTGGCGAAGCGACGGAGAAGCTGCCACAACGGCCTGACCGAACGGATTGACGCCTAGATTTTGCTTTTTATACAGACCATATATATATATATATATATATATATATTATATATATATATTATAGATAGATAGATAGATAGATAGATAGATAGATTGATAGATAGATAGATAGATAGATAGATAGTGCAGTCTCATGGAATAGCAACCAACAGTCCAGGCCGCTGTATCAGGGTTTAGGGTTTGGTTGTGGTTCAATTTCTTCAAGGCCACGACAATGCCGCCATCACGCCCCCCGCTGGCTCCTGCCTGCGCTGCCGTAGCGAGAATCCTCGGTGACAAGGCACACCGACTGCCATGCATTTTTGTCTGTACAGCATTGGCCATATAAACTTCTACACGTTACAGTCTGAGTGCAGATCCCAAGCCCTGACCCCTAAAACCTGAAACCTAAATCTTAAATCCAAAACCCTGAAAGCCCTGCACCTCAAGCCGCACAGCCCTAAGCCGCACAGCCCTAAATCTACAGGCCAGGAGCACCAAGGAGCACAAGATCCCTTCACTTGGGGCAGTTTATAATTTAGGCTTTAGGGATTTGGAATTTCTGTGTTTTTCGGTTGATCGTTTAGGGGGGGGGGGGGGGTTAGGGGGCCAAAGTCATCTCAGGTGTGAAGTGGCTATCCTCAGCACTCGCCGGAGATGCTTGCACGACCAAATCACGAGGAGTAGCCATAAGAAGGTCTACAAGCTGGCTGCGGCAATCGCCGAGTTGCTGACCCAGCACAGCTTGGATGATGCATCGAAATTGCTGAGTTGAAACTCATACTCAGGGTCTATCACGACACCCTGGTCGAACTCATTGCCGACTCATTGCCCACCGGCCCAGCTGCGACAACTGCAAAGGTCATTGACCGATTGGTGCCGATTGCTGGCGTCGATTACCCGTCGGAACTGTTGCAGGTGTGGGGTTCGTAGGATGCAAGGAGCGTATTGTTCTAAACCCTAAACTTAAAACCCCACAACCCTTACAGATCCCTTGAAAGGATCACTTCAAGCAAGCCTTAAATGAAGACGGTTTAGGGTTCAATTTAGGGTTTAGGGAGCCGACTCAGGGTGTAGCCACTACCAGTTGGAGGTTCATGGGCAGTTAAGCAGGGTTTATAATTCCCCAAATATGATATGGGTTATAACTAAGGTTATCCTACTTTGTAGCCCTACGTACAACCACCCATGAACCTCCAGGCAGAGCCCTTATAGAACCCTTACAGAGCCCCTATAGACCCGTTCAAGGAAGCTTATTATTATAACTACCCATGAACCTCCAAGTACCCTAAACCCTAAACCCCTAAACAGCTAAACCGTAAGTCACTAAACCCCTGAACCCCAGCAAACCCTAAACCCTAAACCCTAAAACCCGAAGCCCCTAACCCCAGAACCCTAAACCCTAAACCCTAAACCCTAAACCCCTAAACCCCTGGAGGTCTCTGTGGGGCAGCGGCTTCGTTGATCCAGGGCCGCTGCTGCGCGCCGAGGAGGGTCCTGGCAAGGACAAATGGGAGTTTCAGAAAATAGGGGACCCTAATATAGTACCCTAAATAGTAGGACCCTTATTATAAGGACCCCCAAATAAGGTACCCCCAATGTTCTGAAACTCCCAAATTCAGCCAACTCTTTGGGTTTGGGGCTAAGGGTTTTGGGTTTATGGCTTAAGTTTGGGGCGAAGGGTTTGGGGTTTATGGCTTCAGTTTGGGGCTAAGGGTTTAGGGTTTGGGGTTTAAGTTTGGGCCTGGGCCGAAGGGTTTAGGGTTTATGGCTTAAGTTTGGGGCTAGGATTTAGGGTTTGGGGTTTAAGTTTGGGGCTAAGGGTCTTGGGTTTCAGTTTGGGGCTAAGGGTTTTCGTGAAGCGTCAGGATTCGAAGTCTTTAGATGATTCGGGCTTTAGGGTTAGGGTTTAGGGTTTAGGGTTTAGGGTTTAGGGTTTAGGGTTGGTTAGTTTTAGCTTCAGGACTCCTTTGAGGGCTTTAAGCTTTACAATGCAAGATCCAGAAGTCTTCAAGTAACTTTCCGGCACACGATGCTATTCCTTCCTTTTCGAGGGCGGTTTGTTTTCGAAGATTGAATTTTAGCAGTTTGGCTACGCAGATTTGGGGTATTGCGTGCTTCTGTGGCGGTTGCAGCCCAGATGAGCTTTGGCGTGCAAGGTGTCGCTTCTTTTCGGAACTTCCGGTTTGGGAAATATAGGGGCCTTAATAAGTAGACCAGGGTTTTAGGGTATATTATACTATTTAGGCCCCTAAAGTACCAAGGCGTCTTGGCTTGGGTCACAAGGCGTCTTGGCTTCATGTTATGCCAGGAGTGATAATGAAGGTAGACGCTTGGATTGAAGGTCCGAACCCTAAACCCTAAACCGGTGTTCGG